ATGACGCCCGAGCCAATGAATTATGCCCAGAATGCACTGTGAGTAGAAAGCATTTTCCGAGCAAATAGATCTAATGCAGAATATTTCTGCATTATAAAGGCCGCTGGTTGTCGATTGTTTTCGGTTTGGTTAAGTAAAGTGATTGTTAAGAAAGTAAAATTTTCGCATTCGTGTATTATTAGAGTGTTTGAAATCTAACTTTCAATCAAACTTTTATTGGCTTGAAAAGCTTTGGGCCAAACAGAATCACTGCTGCTTGGCAGCTAGGCATACAAGTCTCTCTTGGTCGCATTGCACTGCAATTTTATGAAATGGCCCTCGGAGGATTTGCCAGGCAGATTGAACCGCAAACAACAAATTTGGCATTCAAACAGGGCGCCAGTCGGGTCCAATTAAGGTCTTTAGGTTAGAAAGGTGTTTTTGAAAATGTTGACCTGGATATAATGTATGTAAATACGGTAATCCATTTTTGTAGGAACGTAAGACCTAAGCACTGCACCTCTTGTGGCATCGATAAGGTGTTGTTCAGATACGGTGACTGGCTGTTTTCCAAACTTCGCATAAAGATTACCGATTGCGCCATTGTCTATGACCAGAGTTCAAAAAAGAAACTATGGATATCAAAGAGAATTGCTAGCGTGTCAAACGGGACAAAGTCCTTCTTCAAAACGCAATTCCTTTCTTTTTGTAACCTATCTTAAATTATTATGATTTGTGAAAAATTCGGATGCGCCCCTGGTTTCCTTAGATGAAAAATAGACGCCCTGTTAGTTAAGAGGCGAGTCAGTATAAACTCTTTTCAATTTGCTACATTGGTCTTATTATAGGTCATGGCTTTTAAAAGACAACTGATTTTTAAAAACGAGCTAAATTTCTAGAATTTAGTTAGAGTCCCCTTGCCTGTGAGGCACAAACAAGCGTTGTCCACGATAAAATGTTGTCCTTTTCTTCATTCACACACGATACAATGGCCTGAGCTTAGGAATAGTTTATCCAAAGTCGTAGAATGCGTCACGCTTTGACATACCCCCGTCACGTTACGTTTTGACGTCACATTAGTAGATTGCAATACTACCGGATATATTTACATTGTCTGCATTTACATCAACTTGGGATTATATTAACCATTTGCTGTTTATCAATCATAAAAATATAATCTAAAGCAAACGATGCCAGTTTATCAGCTCGCAATAAGATACCGCAAAGGTTTTTATACAGATTTTGTTATGATATTTGGATTAGATTGTTTATATTGAAATATCAAAGAACAAATAGAATTTCAACCGAGTGTGTCCTCAACCAAGGGCCCGTTTACACGGGATCGGATCCGAACGGATCCGTACCCAAAGTGGTACAGATAGGCTTTACGTTTACACGGGACCTGGCGGATCCGATCCCGTTTGCATCTGCTATCCGTACCAGGGGCGAAACGTCACTATTTTCATTAGGGGGGTATGAAGCTTAGATGCCCGACGAAAGGGCGTGGCATGCTTGATGAAAGGGCGTGTCATACATGAAATCAATTTTTAGAGCACATCGCCTCAAGGGCTGAAATCATCGGGAAGTCCGAGAGAGGGTCTTTAGACTCAGGCTGTTTGTTTAAAGTCAAGAAGTATGCCTCTAGTTTTTCTGGTGGCTATAAACACTTGTTTCCGAAAAGCAAGCATTTGTAAGGCCTGTCTTTTCTATAAAAGAAAAAAAAGTCTTCAATTTCTAAATCACCTAGCTATTAAGAGAGCAATTCAAAAAGGAGATTGAAGTGGGGTCTCAATTTTATCAAAGTGGAACACCAAAACACAGGCGAGGGGGGGGGGGGCTTGTCAAGGGAAAATTTAGAAATCACAACAAAAGATTTTGTAAAAAGCTCTCTTGTTTTGCAAAAAGTAGGGGGAATGGGTATGCACAGTGTTCATTTTCTTCTCGCATCAAACACACTTTACTTTCCGTCTATACTTTCGCTGTCGATCAATACTTCAGACTTCATCTCGAGACGAAAATAAACATGTGCGTGTCGAGCTCGAGACGAAAGCGCTGATCGGTGGACAAAAGACAGAAATGTATATATGTTGCTGTTCCTAGCCTCGTTTCTGTTTTGTTTTCCAGAGGAGATTGAAAAAAAGATAGGGGAAAAGACAATGAATTAAAAAACCAAGCTAGGGCAAAAAGTAGCAATAAGAAAATTTCCAGATTTGCCCGAAAGATACACTGGCAGCCATAAATTTGCCCAACAAAATCTGCTTTTTTGAAGATTGGGGGGGGGGGTGCAGCACCCCCCATACCCCCCAGTAGTTTCGCCCCTGATCCGTACCCCTTTGGGATCGCTTTTGAAGATGGTCCCGTTTGGATCCGATCCCAAGAAGGTATCGTGTAAACAGTTGGGATCGGATCCAAACAGGTACGGATCCAAAGTAAGGCGGAAGATGTCCATTTCGAGGTACTTCGTATATTGCATTTCTAGACTTGGTGCCAAAGAAATTCATTGTTTCGAACCTTTCGACTTGGTTTATCCTCAGCTATCAAATCTATTTATCAAAATGTCTGCTTTTTCAAAATGAATAAAGAGGTTGATAAAGGACCAAAGAGCAAAGTTTTTGGTTGGAATGACGAGGAGATTTTTGGCTCTACTGCTGAAAGTTGTGCTTGAAAATAAAGTAAACAAAATCCAAGGAGCATCTTATTGAGAAAAAGTAAAACAAAATATGAATGCAGATACAATACCCTTCGATTTCTGTAAATAAAAAATAATTTTCTCCCTTCTGAGGTTGAATAATTGCCGCCAAGATTTTGTTTTTGGAGTGAGCACGCAGATCTGCGCATACGGATCCAATCCCGCGTAAACGCAAATATTTTCAGATCTGATCCCGTGTAAACACCCCCTCAAAAATAAGTTCGGATCCAAATTGATCCAATGCTGTTTGTATCCGATCCCGTGTAAACAGGGCCTTAGGATCAGATCAGATAAGAAGTCTTTTTGACGTTCTCGTAAAGAAACACAATAGAGTTCTTAGGTGTGACATCATGATCGTTTTTATAAGAGTTCATGAATTTTGACCCCACGCCCTAAAGAATGGGTAAATATGGCCGACGAAAGACTCAAAGTATGCTTACTGATTACTTTATTTGACTTGGTTTATGTTTTAAACAAGGACCAAATCACTGTGGTTTGATGGGGAAAGGACCTGTGCTAATGTGACCATATCTCAGCCAACTTGTCACTGCGTTAATTGATTCGCACATTAAGAGACTATTTGAATGAGCAAAATTATCCAAACCTTCTAGTCTATGGGCTTGGACAGAGAGGTAAGATCCAGCCTTCCTAAAAAAAATTTTGCTTTGTGTTTATATGAGAAATGCTCTCTCCGGGGCAAACGAGATCCTGCTCACAGCCTGTTTGAAAGACTGGAAGGTGAGAAGAAGGTAAACACAAACCTGGCTGGAAGATGTGATTGAATACACCAATTCGACTTACGACCTCGTTTTGGAAATTTCTTCAAACTTAATTAGACGACTTTTTTTAAGCTTTATGTCGTCATAAAATCAATATCGTGATCAGTATCATAATGAAAACTTACAAGTAGACTAAAATCATTGCTGTCAATCCGAATCTGTGGTCAAAAATTTTGTAGAAAGAATTTGAAAAATTTTTCAAAATGAGGCCGTAAGTCGAATTGGTGCATTCTTATCGATGCGCATGCGTTTACATTCCATAATGACTTGTTGCGGTATCCGGGAAAAGGTGAGCAGAAGTGAGATAAAAGTGAAGTCATAACCTGCCAGCTGGGAGAGAATCTGCATGTAAACATGCGATGATGGTGGGATAAATTTGCTCATATACACATGCCTTTAATTTTTGGGGTTATTTAATCCTAATTCGGAAACTCTAATTCGATAAATTTTTACCAAGCTATTACTATTTCATGGTTTCAGCGTTTACGCCCTCTCAACTTCCAAATGGTAAGCAACTTCGTTTTTAATGTGCAAAATGGGAAACATCATTTCTACAAAATTTGTTGGACTTTTCCCCCTAACAGTGAAAGAGCTGATAGAATCGTGAAAGGATGATAAACGCCCTTATCGAGAAATAGGGCTTTATTGACTGGTTTTTGAGATAATCAAATGAGAACTATATTGATAAGTAATCAGAAAAGTAATTATAAAGATGGTTTAGTCGCTCCGGCACGATTAAATTTCTTTTAATGTCGACCAATGAAGTGCTGCTATAACTTTTTGAACAGCTTCGAATATATGTAAAACGTACTCTCTTTTTGAGATTATAACACTTCAACGTGCACCTTAATTAAAAAAATTCAATTAGATCTAAACATGCCTCAGAACTAATCATTCATGGGGTGAGAGGGACGCACAGATTTCGCTGTTTTTTATACTTAATTTCATTAGCCTTTGAAGGGTGCCTCTTTAAATTCTTACGAAGCCGAGATCGGGTATAAATTGCTTTGAAGGATCTGTGGTTTGAGACCCTAGCACGACAAAACTTTCACCATGAGTAAGGATAGTTGCTGAATTTCGTAGGAATCTCACTAGGCGTGATCAGATGCGATTATATCTGTACTGCTATAATACAGAAGAACGGTTGTTTTCAATATTGTAATCAAGCTACCTTGTTCGAATAAGCGCCCGGCTTAAGGCCCTAGGTACTCTATCAGCCACACTCAAGCTCAAACTGAAATTTTTTCAGCAGATCAAGGTAATTACAAGTAACGTCACTGAATAGTTGTAATTGCAACCATTAATGTAAATTGTGAGATAGGATAATACAAAAGGTTATATTATATAAACAACATCAATTTTTCTGAATTTGCTGATAGACCCATAGAAGGAACTCAAGAGAGCTGTTGAAACCATGTACCCAATTGACGTGATTTGATGATATGTATATTTTACAAACTTATTTTGGCTTGCATATTGACCGAAAGAGTTAATAAGTGTTAAAGTAGCTAAAAAATAAGGTAAAAGATATAGTAAAGATAAGATAAGAAAACAGAAACAAAAAAAGGGTTTACAGTACATACGATCATTAGCATTAAGTTCAGACAGGATAGAAATCTAAGAATAGGGAGGACTAAAGATTTTCTGAGAGGAAGTGTTTCGTATTACTCTTGAAATACATACTATTATTTGGCTTTTTTTCAAATATTTACTTTAATACCATCAAATGTGAGAAAATTTCTCTTAAATGTGTAGGTATTAACGATATCCGATTGCAAGACACACCCTCCCTGGTTTGCCATCGGCAACCCACAACAAAACTGTTCACCCTCTACCATATTCACGATATAATCAAACGTACATTCAAAATTTGCAAGTTGTACGGTGTTAAAGTTCGTGGACCCATGGCAAATATCAGAGACTGGAGGCTTGATATCGGCGGCTGAAATTACTATGAGCAGCTAATTCCTTTTCCGTTCAGCTAATCCCCTAGAGAATGCTCCATGCACCTTGTTTGCAAATCTAAAGAGGTCTGTGGCTAAAGGGCTCGGACGCGAAATGAATAATGTTCACAGCTATAAGGCTAAAGTTTGGATGCAAAGTGACGTAAGTCCATATTGCCATTGAGCTGTTGATATTGCGTAATCAAATAAAGCAAGGACATAATTTGATAAAATAGCGAAAAGACTTCACCAGACAGGCTTAACAAAGGTAGAACAAAGAGTGATTTTCTGCAATATCCTGGCCACGGACAGAACAAGCCTCCAGAGAAGTGCGAAGTACGTTCTGCAACGAGAATAACGGAATCAAACATGATCAAACGAAGTATCTTCGGGGCACGGTCACCGCTTTTTCTGATCGCAGCTGTTATGGTTGTTTTTTTTGAAGCAGATATTTCTGTTTCAGCAAAAGGTATTTCACTAGTTTGATAAAACACTAATATTGGTTGTGTATTCACGTAGTTTAACCTAGGCTATCATTTTACAGTTCTTCGGATTTAATGGTCGATAACGGGTTTATGTGTATGAAATGTTGGATGGTTTTGTAGAGAACGAAAGCGCTTCTAGTCTGTTCTGTTGTTAGAAGGTTTCATGTGCCTTGCTTAAGGGCAATATACTATGTACACAACAGGATGGACCCAGTAGAGATGTTTCAGGGTCTCCCGTTGGTTAGAGGTCTGAACACTAATTTTTTATAGAAAATTTATGAACCTAGGCTATTCCATGCACTATAAAGATAATCATTTCGGAAGAAGCATACTATAAAACCTTTTTAAAATGTAGTATATCCGAGCTTGTTTACGCAGCCCGTTCGTTTTAAAAACTGTAGATTTATACACAGTTAAAGATTTTGCCTGCTCTTTTTTCCTTGAAAGGAGTTTTGACATCCTATTGGACCTGACACAGCAAACTTTATTTTCCATTGCCGCAGTCAGTCGCACTCTCGAAAGCACCCTTGATTATCTCACATAGTCTTATCTCAACTGTTCTTTAACTTAATTAAGTCTGAATATTGACAAAATAAAGAAGAGACCCTCCTTTTCTACTTTAGAAATTGCGTTTATCAATTTCTCTTGAGAAAAATGGTATACAATTATCTTTTTTGTTACGTACAAAGCATGGAATCGAGGGTAAATTTTTACGGCAGTAAAAAATTCAAGAAGAAGAACTGAAAAGTCACGAAACAAAGGAATTCCACTCCAAACGCTTTAGTTTTATTAGCCAACTGTTAATGCGACATATGCCCTTTAATGATGGGAGAAATGCCCTCCTTTTTTATTTTTACGCAAGGCAGTTTAGCTGTAGCCTTTGTGAACTAATTGCACATTGCGTTATTCAAGGCCACCAAATCACTGTACAATCCATAGATGCACTATAGATGCTGATTTGGAAATTTGCACCCACAGAGATATAAATCATGTTATAATTCGGGAATTCCAGTTATTCGAGAAAATGAAGGCCAATTTAAATCTGTAGGTTTTGCTGACCATGTTAATCGGATAAATCGGCTAATCGCGTATTGAAAACCCTCTAAGGAGAAAACATCATGATATTAATGGGCTTCCGTGAAATAAAAGAACAATTGGTTGACTTGAAGGCAGTAGGTAGTGTGGCCTTTACCATCCCTACTTCTCTGTCAAGTATCTTCCAAGCTTAAAATTTTTGAAATGGAAACATCCTAAGCGGGTTATAATTCAAGCAATGGCGTCATTTTGTTTTAGTTGAAGTGAACGGCCTGACGTATACGGCGGAGTTGTCGAAAAGTTTCATAGAATAATTCCAGTGTTTTTAACCATAGAGACACGTAATAACAACCTGACGCAATTGAAATCAAGAGTAGCTAGCCAAAATACATCGCTTCAAGCATTGGTACAAAACAATAAAACATTATACATATTTTACACTATACTGATTATGTATAGTTTCTGTTCCATTATAAGTAAAGGTAGATTTCTATTTTCACATTGACTTTCATTAGTTAAACAGAAATATGGTCACCACCAAAGAATTTCCTAGGATCGACATGGCTAGGAGAACCATGGGCTGTTGAAAACGTTGACACGATAATCTAATCATCGACATAAAATAGGGATAGCTAACGCACTGCTGTACAGTCGACGTAACGACAACCCATTCTTTTGCAACTATGACCAGACAAGTGAAAGTAAAGAAAAGTATATTTAACAGCTTTGATTAGAGAAAATCCCACTCGCAGTTGCTTGCAGATTTGCTGAGACGCATAACACCGATTCAAATTTTTATTAAAGCCACACATCACCTTTTTTACAAAGTGCAGTAGCTGAAGTTCGCATAAAGTCAAAGTAATTTCTAAAATTTTAAGAATTGTTCATTAGGTATGCTTGAGATATTAGATCACAAAAACAATTTAGAGTAAAACGAGTGTCCAAATGAATTTCTCTCTCAATAAATGTCACATTTACTGGGCTCTGTTTAAACCAACATGGACTTCTCTTTGTCCTTGCTGCCTAAGTCTGATTGCAGATGTCTGGACTGAAGCCTTGCTGAGTGACATTACTGGCTCAAAAGGTGTCAGATTCGTAGTGAGAAGGCGTTGGCGGTAAACACGCTGTTAATGTGGAAGAATTGTTACCCGATTTTCAATGTCCTCTGGTTTTTAAACTCGTGGTATTTGAGATTTTTGGAATGATCAGTATTTTGGAATCGGGCTTGAAGCATAGCAGGAATTCGAGAATCAGGGACCTATTTGGTACCCTCGTTACTGTGGACAGGGACGTGGATCAGCGCTCACAATGAATTAAGCAATTCTCCGTCAATCAAAAATTTCCCTTTCAAAAGCTTACAATAAGCTAACAATTTTTGCTTAATTGTTGCAGAAACTTGAAATGGGTTTGTGTTTGGCATTCGCCTTTGTTGCGGCAGCATAAAAATGTGATGCAAGCTGGAGAGAGAATATGTTTCACGTTGAATAAACCATAGGTTAACTCGTCTCGTAAGAAGATTGTATATTCATTTTGTTGGCAAGTTTTTCTAGGTTAAATGGCACTTAAGCGCTATGTGCCACTCTTAAGCACTTAAGTACCACTCTTGTGCGCTATGTGCCACTTTTAAGCACTTTTGTATCACTCTTATGCACTATGTGCCGATCTTAAGCACTTATGTATTACTCTTATGCACTATGTGCCACTCATATACCAATCTAAACAATGCTACAGTAGCATGCATTTCCTAAAAATCGATCAAGCAACACAATATTAGTTTTTCAAACAGAGGAACAAAACCGCATCAGAATGAATGTAGTTACTCTTAAACCTCATGGAAGTGATGACAAAGTGGTGATCTAGCATTGCCTACTTAGCGGTGATCTATCTACATGAAAAATTTATGAAAAAACCTCGGTTTTGATTGCCAGCCTCGACTTGGGTCTCCCTGCAGATTTTAAAATATCCTTCATTGCGACCAAAGCCCTTTTATCATTATTCGACGGGGTCCTTGTGTCCATTTTCATGCAGTAAAGTGGCCTGTAATTGACAAAGGGGAGGGGAGCTACATCACTGTAAACAGATCTGATGTAAGTTAATCTTTATCCATTATACGCTGATTTGATATCATCGATCATCGATTAATAATTTTGTGCATTGGTTATTGTTACGTGTATCCAAACAGATGCTAATTAATCTCTCTGGGTGGGTTATCGACTAACGTCACGGTGGTGCTGAAAGGTATACTAATGCGAGGTTCTACACATATATCTGTTTGATACAACTTCGTAGACCACATGAAATTCCAACTTGGAACTTCATCACGTGTTAAGTATTTATTGGTTAAGTTTTGTACCTACTACGGCATCGATTTAATCCTGTGGCCAAACAAGTGGTTCAAAGTCTAGTAGAGCTTAATCTCATCAAATTGTCAAATTTGTTGCTTCCAGTTGCTTTCATTTAGAAATTGAAGCTCGAATACTGGCACAGTGTGATGTTCCGAGCATTTATTCTCGGATTCGAGCAATTTGTATCTTCACATTTGGCAAAAATGGATAACAGAATTGGAACCTTCATGTTGAAATTAGTCTGTGCCAAAAATCTCAAATCGTTTGGGCCGTCAGGCTGCGAATTATCCCATTTTCAAAATTTAGCTTTTCCTATACATTTCAATGGAATTTGTTGTTGTAGTGAAATTTTTTACTGCAGCAGCAGCAAGTTCCGGTCAACTCTAAAGAAATAACTAAATTGCAAAACAAAGTAACTCGCGACCAAACAGTCCAAGCAACATGAATTTTTCAGTATAAACTAATTTAAAAATGAAGATTTCAATTCTGAAGTCCATTTTCGAAAAAGATCCGTAGATAGCGAGATACAAAATTAATGACGTCAACTTGAATCAATCAATACTAGCGTTTAGTGAAATTCAATAAAGTCACAAATATTTGGACGTTTTTTGGAAATTGAAGACAAATAAACATTCGGACAATCTTACCTGCAATTCAAACTAACATCGATTTTTTCCTCATACTGAACGGGAACTTTTCTTTTTCTTAAACATGCTCTTGTTGTGTATTGTGTTCTATTCTACACTTGTGGGCCCTTGTGTTCTAGCGTGGTCGTTTACACCATTTGATTAATGACTTACTTCGCAGCTTAGTCTTTTCTGCTTACTTTTGTCATTATCTGACATGTTTACTCTGAATTGTCGGATGAATAGTGCCTCAGTATGCAATGTTTTCGCTATTTTATGCCATCTTCAAATCTTGCAGTACCAAAAACCTATTTACTATGTTAAACATAGAGAACTGCTTAGAGTCTCTACTTTTTGAAAAAACTTTGCCAATCCAAAAGCTGGTAGGTTAGATCATTCATTCATTCATTTTTACATGCAAATTCCATTCCTCCAACTCATGGCTTTTTTATCCCACCTCCCAGTTTAACCTGGGTACCGCAACGCGTCATTTTTTAACAATAGATTGCGAACGTATATGCATAGATAAGTATTTCATTCCACCTTCCAGCCAGTTTGGTATTTTGTATGGGAAATTTCATTCCATTCAGGTGAGATCCGGCAAGCTAAGAGCAGGATTTCATTTGCCCCTGATAAAGCATTTTTAATTTCAACACAAGATTAAGTCAAAGCTTTGTAAAGTCAATTCTCACCTAGTCAAAGATCATGGGCTAAAAAGTGGGATAAATTTGCTAATATGAACTGGCCCTTCTAAATCTTTTTTTGAGGTCACTGCAATGTTGGATGAAAAAATCTCAAATACATTTAGCCAAGTGATAAATTCCCAGAATCTTCCAAATGCAGAAGCCAGTCTTTCTAATGGCTTAAATATATTCACAAGATTTTCAGATCCGTGCAAAATAATCATATAGATATTATCTGCAGATCAGACATTTCAGCAAGCTTTCAGGCTGATACAGAAATTGAGACATACGTTGA